TTGTCCTAAATTGGATTTTTCTCAGATCTCCTCCACTCCATGAGGGAAAAACCCAAGTCCAGCAAACCCCTGTTATCTCCAAATTGGATTTTTTTCAGCTCTCCTCCACAACCAACAACCACAACCCCAAACCCCCCATCTCCACAAAACTCCCATTGTCCTAAATTGGATTTTTCTCAGATCTCCTCCATGGCATGAATGAAAATCATGAACCCCAAAAACACAACTCCAGAAAACCCCCACTGTCCCAAATTGGATTTTTCTCAGATCTCCTCCACTCCATGAGGGAAAAATCCAAGTCCAGCAAACCTCTGTTATCTCCAAATTGGATTTTTTTTGGATCTCTTCCATGCCATGAGCAAAAAATCCAAGTCCAGAAAACCCCCAGTGTCCCAAGTTGGATTTTTTTGGATCTCCACTCCATGACCAATAATCAAAACCCCAAAATCCCAAATCCAGAAAACTCCCATTGTCCTAAATTGGATTTTTTTCAGATCTCCTCCATGAGCAAAAATCACAACCCCAAAAAGCAAATCCAGAAAACCCCCATTGTCCCAAGGTGAATTTTTCTCAGATCTCCTCCATGGCATGAATGAAAATCATGAACCCCAAAATCCCAACTCCAGAAAACCCCCATTGTCCTAAATTGGATTTTTCTCAGATCTCCTCCACTCCATGAGGGAAAAACCCAAGTCCAGCAAACCCCTGTTATCTCCAAACTGCATTTTTTTTGGGTCTCCTCCATGAGCAAAAATCACAACCCCAAAAAGCAAATCCAGGAAACCCCTATTGTCCCAAGGTGAATTTTTTTCAGATCTCCTCCATGGCATGAATGAAAATCATGAACCCCAAAAACCCAACTCCAGAAAACTCCCACTGTCCCAAATTGGATTTTTCTCAGATCTCCTCCACTCCATGAGGGAAAAACCCAAGTCCAGGAAACCCCTGTTATCTCCAAATTGGATTTTTTTTGGGTCTCCTCCATGAGCAGAAATCACAACCCCAAAATCCCAACTCCAGAAAACTCCCATTGTCCTAAATTGGATTTTTCTCAGATCTCCTCCACTCCATGAGGGAAAAACCCAAGTCCAGCAAACCCCTGTTATCTCCAAATT